ATCCGGTGTCAAGGTTGTACAAAGGTATAAAGATAGAAGACTGATATATAATTGAAACAAGTATAGAAAAAATACATATAGTCCCCTATCTCAATGCAAGAAAGTACACTAGAAGATCCCAATTACTAGAAATTTCAAGTTCAAAAAAAGCATTAGAAGATACAATAGGTAGAACAATATACAGTAATCAAGTAATTATTCAGAATGAAAGAGTATTATTACAAGTGAAAATAGAAGATTCAGAAACAAATATCATCAAAGATCATGTTGAAGAAGGTGCCTACCAATTCTATCTAATTGAAATACTCAACCATAGCAAGCAAAGAAAAGAACCAATGACATTCTATTCTAACGAGTCCCTCATAAATCACAGAAGTACAAATATGTGAATGGGAGCAGTATGGATACATATAGGAGAAGCAGAAAGAGAAAGCAAGTTCCAAACTAGAGTAGAGAATTGACCTTTATCCACTAGAGCAGAACTAGTAGCAATAGTTACTATACTACTAGTAGCTCCAGTAGATAGCAAGATCGAAATCTTTATAGATAGTCAAGTCTACATCTCGAAGTGGAAAACTATAGAAAAGGAGGATTCCAAAATGATCCACAAAAGATGATTAAAAGAACAAAACTAGTTCCTGTGGACATGTATGCTGGATCTTGTAAAGAAAAAGAAGCTGGATCTCATAAAGAAAAAGAAGCTAGATTTCAAGCTTATCAAGGTTAAGACACACTTCAATATCCAATATAATGAAAAAGCAGATGTTCTGGTCAAAGAAGCACTAAGATTGCCAGTAATAAAATGGTAAAATTAGTTTCACACAAGATGATCACAGAAATTAAATGACAGAATATAGTGCTAGATACTCTTATAAGACAAGCTATTAAAAAAATTAATAATAAAGTAACAGCCTACCAATTGACAACTCAAGGTAGAATTAAAAGGAGATGGGATCAGCAAATCCAAGACCATCAAGATATACGTGAGACCTTGTATAGAAATATTTTAATAAGGGACACACATGAAACACTTCATTTAAAAGCTCACAAAACAAAAGCTTTCTTACTAAATTGATCAATGATGAATTGCTAACATTTACGAAGCTAGCCATAAAAAGATCAGATCTTTATAAGCAAGTGAAATGTATTATATGTGACCAGAAAGAGGAAACAATAGAATACTTGCTAGAATGCCCATCTTACAAGATTCAGTGGAATAAGGCATGGCAAAAAGAAATAGAAAAAGTCTTGAAAGGATTCAAAAAGCTCTTAAAAAAAGAAAACTAAATCAGAAGAAAAAGAGTTAGGCTTGAGAATAGATGATAGGATATAAATAGAAGAAATCGACAAACAAATAGCAAAACTGGTAGAAAAAATCTCAAAAACTAATCAGAACATACTTAGCTTCTGTATGGGACTAATAGAGAAAAAACTAGTTATCAAAATAGTAGTGACCTGTGGACAATGATATTAGAAGTTGAAAGAGTTTTCATCTGAATCTCTAACGAAGTGATAAATTATTCCTGAAGTTGCACTTAGAGAGGTAATACAATCAAAATAAGTGAATTAGTTAAATATTTAGCTTTAGCATTTCATTTAATATGTACAGCTTACAAATGTTTAATAAAGCCTATATAACTAACCTGACAGAGGGTAAAAAAAAAATAATAATAAAAAATAAAGATTCAATAAAAACTCTTTTTACTAATTCTGTGATTATATACAAAAAAGATGTTTACAAGAAGTTTTATACTTCCTTGCTAATAAAGTCTTTATACTTTCATTAAACCAACTTGAAGCTTGTCTTCATTTATCTTTTTTACTCTTCCTTACTTGTTTATAAACTCCTTTGAATAAAAACTTGAGTTTCTAGTAACCTGAAAAGACTCAAATATACACTTTTTCTACTAAAGGTAAAAAAGATCTAGAAAGTAAAAGGATTAACAAGTGAAATATTACTTCACAGAGCTGAAAGTGATATCAAATAAAGGTTTTGTTTATAGGGAAAGACTTATTGTTCACCTTCTCACATATTGTCTTATACCCTCTTAAAGTGCCTATTGTTTTTTACAGTTTTTTTGAGAGATTTTGCCTATCTCAGTTTGATCCTAAATTTCTGGTAATATAATGTCACCTGACATCTGATTGGTTGACACAAAATATATTAGAAGCTAAATGTAAACAAGCCCCTATTCGTTATTGTATATATTCTGATAATGTTATTGATAATTGAAAAAGTTGATTGGTATTCTATATTCCCCTCACTCTTTCAATTGGGTTAATCTACTGATCAAGTTCCATGAGGTTAATAAGATGTGAGCAACAAGTTTCCAGATAGTAAAAAAACTGCTATTTGTTTAAGCTGAGATATTTCTCTTCTATCACCTTAGTTAAGCAAAGTTTAAGATCAAGGTCTTCTTCTTATTCCAGTTAGGCAATAAGACTGAATGGTCTCTAGTCTATATTAAGTTTCAACCCTTTAGTTATAGTTGAGAATATATTTTTCCAGAAGTTGTTAAAGAATATCACAATCGATGAGGATTCCTATCTCTTTTAAGACCTTCTCACCATTACAAGGCAAAAGGATTATTGGGAAATTTGATCTTTTGAGTAATGGAAGATGTATACTAGTAAAATTTCTTTAATTAGGCATGACTTCTGGAAGGTATTATACTAAAACAATATGATCTAGTTTCTATTAGATTATATAAAAATCTAGGATCCATTATAAGTTACCTGTTTACCGCAGGTGAATAAAAAATCACTGTTCAAAGAAGATTGAAACCAAGTGTGTTTTAGAAGTAAAGACTCTTACTAGGCGATAAGTCTCCCTAGATGATATACAAGATGAAAATCAAGATCAAGAATGGATAAGTTTCTCAAAAAGCTAGGAAAAGAAAAGATTTTCAATTAGGTATTTCTTATTGAGAAGAGGTCTTGAGAAACAGGTTTTTGGAGGAAGCTAGAAATTTTTTTTTTCAAATTTTTATTTTTTCATTTTCTTATTATTTATTTAAACATTTTTAGACATCCTTCTTTTTCTTTTTTCAATCTATTTTTTTATAGTTTTCTATATTTCAATGGCTTAATAAGACATATACAATAGTGATGACAACCTGCTGATAATAATATAGTGGACTAGGAGAATTTTCATTCAAAGATATTGCAGAGTGAAATATTGTCCTCAAGGTTAAACTTAGAGGCTTTTATATTTATAATAAATTAATTGGATTAGAATAATGGTTTAGCTATAATATGTATTATGCTGCTTGAATGAAAATATATTTATGTTTTCAATTAATTAATAAACTAATAATCTAGCCTGGCTATAGGTACTCAAAAAAAAAATAAAATAAAAAATAAAGATTCAAAATAATTTTTTTTTTACTATAGTTTTTATTCAATTAATTTAATTATTGCAACTAATCTTTTGTAAACCTTATTTAATAAATTTTATTTTAAAATTAAACATAATAAGATTTGACAAGTCTTGATAAAATTTGTTAGAATTTGATAATTCATATCTAAAAGATGTTTTTATAAAATAATAATTGTATATATTATAAAAAAATTTCTTCACTAATCAGTAGTAAAGTTGAAAACATTTTGTTACTATTTATTTTTCTTGAAATTTGATTAATATCTGATGGTACTTGAAACATTTCCATTGTTAATTGTATTGAAAAATAATATATTGTACTGCATATATATTTAAAAACTGAAAAAGTTGAAATTAATAATACAATGGTAGACCTGTGGGTCAATAATACAGTGGTAGTGCTCTCAGGTTATCAAGTACTGTTTTCGAGTTCAATACTACTGTGAGGTAGTACCACCTAAGCCTAAGTGATACAGAAAAATCTCATCTGTCTCATGATAATAATCACTATCACTTGTAGCCAAGATCCTATCCGATCATGGGATAAACCAAAAAATCACAAAATGCTTCAGCTGATTTTAGTGCTAAAGTCACCTCGTCATAAGACAGGTTCTAACAAACTCCTACAGATAGACTAAAGATCTACTTGCTGTAAAACTTCAGGGATTAATGATGCCTAGGTACATTAGCAAAAGAAGGGAGTCTTTATCAAATTGGATAACCTGTCCAAGACTCCACATAGTCACCCCATAGGCAGGCTATAATAGGTCATGTAAAAAGGGTACTCAAATGGGACGAGATGATATTTAAGACTTCATGTGAATATTCCATAGGCATACTGTAATAGATAGTATAAAAAGAGTATTCAGCAAGACAAGATATGAAAGGGTCTCAGGTCTAAGCCAACCAATGGGCAAGTATACATGGCAAAGGCCTGAACATAGGTAAGGTGGCTAGTGGAACTTCTTCCAGCAACATGCCACATGGGTCACATGAAAAATTGTGAAAAATAGGTTTATTGTAACCACTAGTCACTAACAAAAGGAAAAGGTGAGATAGAATTATAGAATCTAAAGTAATATAACCTTTACTATAGTCTGTAATTCAATTGTACCTCATTAATTCGCTGCTACATTCTCAATAAACTGGGCCTCTGTATCCCCTGTTAAAAAAAAAAATAATAATAATAAAAAATAATGCGACAGCATATTATTTCTTATAACATTGTTATTCATATGAAATTGTTTAATTAATTCTAAATGTCAAGAATTGAACAATAAAAGTAAAACGAAATATACTTTGTGATTATTTACAGTATACAGTATATAGTAAGTTAAACACAAATATTTATTTATTATATATTGCTAATATCCAAAATATACAGTACTTGACTATAAACAAATGACGTACGTAATAGAGTAATTTTATTACCGTATATTACCGACTAAAAGAACCTTTTGATTTCGAAACAGACAATTTGATGAAATTTATGTTTATTAATAAAATTCGACCTGAATATAAGAGACCTCTTAATTCTGAAAAAAAAAAATCGATTGCTTTTATTCGGTAATATACGGTAAGAGGTTTTATTCGACCTCGGTATCACGCAAATAATGATGTTCTAACCCAATGTATTCTCATCTAATTCACATCTAACAAAGCCAGGTGCAGAATATGAACCCATGAGCATTACTTTTCGATTATGGTCCACAGCCACCACAGAGAGCGTGAAGAATAAACTTCCATCATCTTCGAGTATTTTCTTTGTCGAATATTTAATTCCATAAAATCTATCCTCTGCAGTATTATTACTGACTTTAAATACAACGAACCCAGGTTTTTTTGCTGTATTAGTCTCATCTTTAATATATGCGAGAGCATCTAGGCAGTTTGTTCCGGCTATTGGATGGTTTTGGAAGATAAATAAAAGGAATAAAGTAATGAAAATATAATATGATACATACCAGCAAGATAAATTTCTCCCGTAACAGGATCCGTACTAACGTTATCAATATAGTGCTCCGTTTTCACTACATCCAACAATTTGAGTTTATTATTGGGTTTCCTTTCAAATATTAGAAGCTCGCCAGAACCGGTTAAGCCCACGTAGACACGTGAATGATCCCAGTTCGTGGTTATTCCATTGGCGTAGTATAACCCATCAGCGGCAACCTCGGTAGTGTTGGTAATATCAGAATGAAACACTATATAACTCCACGGTCGATGGGTGAAAACTAATAACAAACAATTATAAACTATTTTCTAGTAGAGTTACATAGATAAAAATGTTTCTTACTTTCAAACATCCTCTTCCAATAGCTGCCGGTAGTATAGAAATCAATAGTAACGTAAAATTCATCTTTTGACACAGGTACGATATCATTAGGACTAGATATTAATTCATGTTTGAATGTTTTCACATGATTTAATTCATAGGTGTTCAGAGTGTGCTTAAATAATTCGATTACGCTGCCTGAACGCTTGTGATTTATAAGAAACAAGTAAAGTTCATTAGGTTCTGCGGGATCTTCATAGATTCCCAAACCATGAAGTGATAAATCATCATCAAAATTATTAAGTTTGAGCGGGGTTAGTTTGTCGTTCTAAATTAATCGAAAATCGATAAGATATTTTTAGAAAAAATAATTCAATTGCAAAAATACTTTTACCCTACCTTGATATCATAGACGTAAGGCGTATCATTTGGACGGTAACTATAGTTTTTGAACACGTTGCTTGGTGGATACCACTGAGTTTTACGTTCGTGTTGATTACCGCAAGTCATGAACGCTAGCCCGGTCCTGTGATGAATCTCAATGTCCTCGCATGCTTCTGGACCTTATTATCCAAAGACTTGTCAATGGTATAATTGATAGGCGAGCGCATTTTCAATCAATTAAAAAATTACCTTTAATAAGTCGACAGTTTTCGCCAGTATATTTTTGCACAGGTCCACGAAAATATCCGGATAATGTGAGTAAGGTCAAGATGATATTATAGGATCCAGCGAGCAAGACGACAAAGAATATCACGAAAATCGATGTAAAGCTCGGCATCTTAGTGCAAAGAAGTGTTTCGTCGAATCAGGAATAGAAATATGTTGGTATGGTTTAAATAGTTTTATAATTGAGCATCAAATTTTAACCAATTTGGTTAGCAATACAATCATAAAGTGACGTACTTTCCTAATATAAACGTTCTAATTTTTCTTCAAAGAACGTATTTACCTTTCTGCTTGTCCGAAAAAGTATATATACAGTATATATATATATATTAAGTTTGATAAAGGTAGAATGATTTTTATTTGGGAGATATCAATGAAATATAATTACACTCAGCAAAAAGAATTTGATGAAACTTCTTTTTGGATATCGAAGTTAAATTAATACTTTGAAAAGAATATATTTTTATATAATAAAATTAAGTTATCCAAAATTTTTACACATTAAAATTATTTATTTATTTATTTATTCACAATAATGTCATCATAACATGTTTGTATTAAAATATTAAATAAATATATAGTTTTTTTTTTTTTTTTTTTTTTTTTTTTTTTTTAAACCCTCTGTCAGGTTAGTTAAGTGTGCTTTATTAAACATTTGTAAGCTGTACATATTAAATGA